AGGAACACCGTCTGTCCGCTGAATAGTCTTTAGACAAGTTATTGGAGGTTTTCTATTTTTATGGCCGGAAAGGTTTTGGCAAAATGTGTAGACTCCCCGTTAATTGATCAAGTTTCCTCAGCCATATAATGTTAGATTAAATGATTGAAGCCTGCTTTATATCATTCCACGTTCTTGTGTTAAACCCTTAAGTTAGAACGTGTCCACTCACATCAATTCTGGCCTCCAGCTCATGGAGAGGGATTCTGCGATTGTAGCACAGCATCTGTCTGCCAATGTCCTCACAGATGGGAGTGGATCCTGTAATAAATAATTCAATAAATGGGTTAATGACATTCATTTCCTGACCCTCTGTCTGCAATCTCAAAAGGTGTGTTGAATAAAGTTGCACACATGACAATTTGCAGTTTACAACCAAATCTTTCCAAATTCTAATCTTATTTGATGTTTTGTCTGAACATCAAAATCAAGCCAGTTCATGTAGTCCAAGTTTGTTCTGAAAGAAATACCCCTAAAGCGTTTGACTGCCTGTGCAGAGGTATGAGGCAGCCTCACCATCGAGATGCAGCAGCATGTTTGTCTTCAGCAGGTTTTTGGCTCGTGCCACTTCGCTCTCCGTCACACTCGTACAAAGAGACATCCTAACGGGGAGCAACATTCATTTATTAGACCACCGAATGTTTAGCTTCAAAAGGAGCCATTGCTCCGTATGTGTGTACGCACCATTCCATCTGAGTGAAATGCATCATGTCGTTGATGGTGCCGGGCTCACACACCATGTAGAGTCCCCACAGGCCTGTGTCTGTGTAGCAGGTGTTGAAGGATTGGAAGCTGTGGCACAGATTTCCCTGACAGGCCATCTGAGCCAGTTTACTGGACAGATTCTGGGTTCACAAAGAAGTTTCAAGGCCACAATGAAATACAGTATAAATATTTACCATAAAAAAAAAAAAAAGCAGGTTGAATGTTTGCGCAGCAAAGGACAGAAGTTAATGTGTTAAGTTTGCTTTTAGAAAAGGATAAAAACAGTCATTCCATGATCTCAAACCATTCTACTGTGACCCTGGTTCGGATCGCCTACAGACTAACTGCACGGTCATAAAAACAAAGAGGCCATGACGGAGATGCTACCAATTTTTTTATTTCTGCTGAATTCAGTTTCTATCAGGCCTTGGATGGTAAAAACAATATCAAGTCAAGACCATAGCACAAATGAGTATTTGAGATCATGACCCATGCCTACTGGATGACCGTTTGTCTTCACTTTATACATTTGCTGTCACGCCTCAAATCCTACCGCATTTGTACATGTCAAATGCTTAATCAAAGTTGCTTTGGCTAAATGATAAAAGTAAATAAATCTTGAGTCCATCTCATCACTCTGGGTTGAAGTTAATCAATGAAGTGAATTGCAGGAGAGTCCACTCACCACACCTCCACCAAACGAGCGGTCCCAGTTTCCAATAAGCGTATTTGCCACCATGAGGGGGATGGTATCAGGGTGCGACCATCCGACCGCCTCCACGGCGATGGCAATGTGAGCCAGAGGCATCTTGTCGTCCCGCACACGGATCTGAGGCAACAGCACAAAACATCCGGGCAAACTCATTGTAACTGTGTGCTATTCTATTTCTTTGAAATGACGGTTGTCATTGCCAATGTCATCTCTCCTAGTGCTGTCTAATAAAGGCAGACACAGCAACACATACTCTATAATGTATATAATAAGTTAAATACATCTTGGGAGAAAAACAAAAGTGAGAGTAATAATGTGTAGTATTAGTAGACCTTAACCGTACCTCACTTCCTGTGAAGTGGCATGGAGGAACTGCCGGAGCTCCACCTCGGTCTCTGCTAGGAAGTTTTCCAAAATGATACTTGGCCAAATCAATGAGCTCGCTGTGTGAAACCCCTGATCAAAAACACATCACAATGTCTTTAAAATCACAACAACCTCAAGGTGATATTTTACATTGTCTGGTTTGAGTTATAATAATGACAATAATAAGCAGCAACAAAGTATAAACACAATATATAAATAAAAAGAACAAGACTAGACAGTACTTCAATACCATCCCAATGTTTGTTTCCCCTTTCCCAATAGTATTAAATACGTACAGATGCTGTGAATTATAACCCAGTAACAATGATGGGTTTATAGGTTCATATCAAACCGAAATGAAATAACCAAACATGAGCTCTGACCTCCAGCAGCAGCCAGCACGATTCTGGGGCCTTTGTAGTGAGTAGTGATGTACTCCACTAGGTCACCTCGGTTAATTGTTCTGCAATCAAATACAACCGTCTTACACCAAGGAAAAAACTGATTCAAACTAAAGCATGAGAAGAGCAGTACACAAACCACACTGAGATCATGTGTCAGTTCTAGAGACTCATGCCTGGTCTTACTTGATGTTCTCGGTTGGGCCCAGGATGGTCCTGCCTAGAGCCGTGGACTGGTACGCCGTAGCGTGCAGGTAATCAAAGACCACTTCCTGCAGATTGGTCTCTACCTCCTGCATCTCCCGGAGGATCACCCCTCGCTCCCGCTCAATCTCTGCTTCACCCAGTGTGCTGTTCTGGATGATGTCAGCCAGGATCTCCACGGCTTGAGAAAAGAAATAACAGGAGCATCTTTAATGGATAAATGGAGCCTTCATTTGTTTTCATTACTCAAACACATCTGTGAAGTGTCAGTTTGTGTTTTGCTATAAAGGCACTGGCGTTTAAAGAGTTTTGACCACTGCTGGTGGAGGAGTTGGAATGAGCTGTACTTAGCATTTGCTTAAGCAGATCATAAAGAGACTTCCTTTTTGTTCCTTGTAGTGTGTTTATTTAAAAAAGACAGGCTGCGACATTCAGCTGGACTGTACCCCGAGGAAGATCTTTAGAGAAAGCTTTGGCGTAATACACAGTTTGCTCTCGGGATGTGTAGGCGTTTAGGTGAGCCCCCATGTTCTCAATCTCCAACTCCAGATCCAACTGGGAGCGCTTCCTGGTACCCTGTCACTCACACACACACACACACACACAGGTCAGAAATTGATGATTTACATTTTGAAAACTAGGTGTAATTTACTCCCCTGATGTAATGGTAGGGAAACACTAGCTTTGTCTTTTGTTAATTTTCATGAATCATCTTCAAAGTTGATGCAGATGAGAACAAATTGAATTCAAACCAGTAGGCCCAGTTAAAAACCGTGGCTCACTTTTACCACCTCACCTTAAACGCCATATGTTCCAGGAAATGTGCCGTGCCGTTATTTCTCTCATTCTCGTAGCGACTGCCGGCGTCTATCCAGAGGCCCACCTGGTCAAAGTCAGTAATGAATATCCACAGATTAAAATCAACTACTGCACAAACACTTCAGACTGAGCAGAGCCCGACTTCTGTAAGAATGAAGCTCAGGATGCCTTGATATACTTTGCTGCAAATGTTTTTGAAAGAAAACTACTGTGTTACTAAGCTCCTTTAAATTTCTGTTACAAAAAACTTAATATTGGAGAAACTTGCAACTCCTCATTTGTGACTAACAACAAATGGACAACAATTCAATTGGAATGACCAGCTAATAGGGGGTAATAATGTTCAATTAAATACATTTGATTTTGTATAGCCCCAAATTGCAAATGACAAATTTGCCTTTAGAGGGCTTTACAGACTGTGCACATGCAACATCCACTGTCTCGAAACCCTCACATAGGCACAGGGAAAAATTCCCCAAAAACCCTTTGAAGGGGAGGAAAAATGGAGGAAACCTTAGGGAGAACAGAAGGGGAGGGATCCGCCTCCCAGGATAGACAGACTGCATAGGACGTCACGTGTACAAAATGAACAATGTAAAATATGTACAATACGTCCAATATATACTATTAGATATAAACACAAACCTGTGGGGAGGGAGATGTTGTCCTTTACATTTCAGTATGCAAGTAAGACAATGTTTAATCTTTTGTCAGCTCTTTAGATTTGTCCCTCAAAAACAAAATAAATGTAGCAAGTAAACAGCAAGTCTGTGAGTGTTTGTGTGAGTGTACGTGTAGCACGGTAACGTGTATCTGACCGTGCAGGTGGTTAGCCCAGCGTCCTCTGAAGACACCCGCAGTCCGTTTTCTAAAGTGGTCACTTTGGTTTCAGGAACATTGAGGGCCACCTGATGAGCTGCCTGAGCAGACAGCGGTCGCTGCGCTCCAGCTGCGAGCTGCAGATGAAGGACACACGGTGTGGAAGTTTACGGTCATGATGATACTGCAAAATTAGGACCGTGACGTCAGCAGTTCGAGGCCGCAAAAATGAATCTAACTAACGTTAACCCGTTCATGAGCCATGTCGTAATTTTACTGTGCTACAAATGTCGAACTTCATAAACCACTTTAAGAGTCCATCTTGCAATAGCATTTAGCAGCTGTTGGCTAACTTGTTAGCAAACACTAAGGCTGACCGGCCGCGCAGAGGAGTTTCCTCCGTTCAACTCTACGGTGATACATTTCGAGGAAGTACTGCATGAAAAAATAAGCAATTTAACATATAGTTCTTACCCTGCTTGAATAATTTGTCTTCAGTAAATGTCTTTGAAGGAGATATTTCCCAACAGACGTGAGGCGCTGTAAGGACGCCGCCATATTGTTTATCTGTCACACTCTTCAATGACGCAATCAGACGCTAGATGGCGATACAGTTTCGTAAAGAAAATAAAAGCCTTTTAAAAATACCATCGATTAAATTAGTCCTGCAAAAGTTATGATATAAACAAGTTTGATTGTGGGTTCAAAGCCTGCAATAAAAGAGCATTCCCAATATCTAAGGAAAGGTATGTTCACGTTACATTCTAATAATGGATAACCTAAATGGCTTAATGGAAACGCCACATTAAGCTTATATTTTACCTTCTTACTTCTATTTTCACAACACATGTCCAATGTGTTCAACACAATAAATGTAGGAATATAATAAATATTTATGACTTTGTTGGTTTGCTCGGTAGTAACGTTATCTACGTGAAGGAAATTACCCTGTAGGTTTATTTTGAAAGGGTCTGATAGTTGGAAGACGGAAGTGTTGCTTCGTCCTAGCGCGAATTTCCTCCACAGGGTCTCAAGATTGTCAACCTCTTCAAAGCCATTTACGGTTAGTGGAAAAGCCCAATCAAGTCGAAAGTGCACAATTCCATGCAAAGCACACTGTCAGCTAACGGTACCCGCTAACGTGTCAGATATCTGGTGTTTTTCTGTTCAAGCCCAGAGTTGTTTGAGTAGTTGCTGCAGCATTGCTAGCGTCCCAACTAATGGTTGCCTCAACGTTAGCAATTGTTGCTAGTTTGTAGCCTAAACTTTAGCAGATGCAATAATGTTAAACCATCGGTTAACAGCCATAAACGTTGGTGTGGTTTCCAGATAATTCATGTCTGGTGGCGGAGATCTAATGGAAGGTGATCTTGAAGATGGGGAGATTTCCGGCTCGGACACCGAGATGGGAACCGCCGCGGCTCCAGTTCGACCCCAGGTTCCTCCAGCTTTTAGCGGCCAGTCCTTCCATGACAGAGCCGCTGCCCAACATTCTGCCGCCGCCTACCGCACCACCGGTAGGCCGGTGGAGTCCAGCGACAGCGACGCCGACTCGTCGGACGAGGAGGCGGCTCTTTGGCGACGAAAGCGGCAGAAAGTATCTAGCGTCCCCAAGCGGCCCACCTGCACCAGCCAGTCCGAGCCGGTCCGCGTGCCCGTCCCCGCCGCGCAGGGAGGCCGCAAGGTGAACAACATTTGGGGCTCCGTGGTCCAGGAGCAGTGTCAGGATGCCGTTGCTTCCGAGCTGGGCATATTTGGCATGGAGGGGGAAGTGAGTATGTCCAGCAGAAGTGTGGAGACGTATAACTTTGTCCTGGCCCGTAAGATAATGGAGAAGGAGAGGGAGCTGGAGAGACAGACGAATAATGGGGGAGAGGTGAGCATGCTGGACGCCCAGCTGGAGGATTACATGAAGGGCCGTGACTGTGAGGAAAGGGCAGGAGGAGATGCCAAAAGGAAGAGGCCAGCGAAAGAAAGACTGGGCCCCGTGGCGAAAATGGACATCAAGGGCCGGTATGAGATCACAGAGGACGACCCTGAGGATAGAGTGACCGATGAGATAGCACACAGGCTGCAAGAGCCCAAAAAAGACCTGATAGTGCGCATTGTCAAAATCATCGGCAAAAAAAAAGCCATAGAGCTGCTTGGTGAGACGGCCACACTGGAAGAGAGCGGGGGGGTGTACACTATGGACGGCAGCAGGCGAAGGACGCCTGGTGGGGTCTATCTCAACCTGCTGAAGAACACACCCAGCATCAGTAAGTCCCAAGTCCGGAAGGTATTCGCCGAGGAACAAGAGAAAGAATGCAAGAGCAAGAAGGCTGCCCAGAAGAGGAGGCGCCATATGGTGGCGAAGAAGATGAAGCAGGCTATCGGCACACTCAACCTGCAGGAGCACGACGATGTCTCCCGCGAGACGTTCGCCAGTGACACTAATGAGGCCTTGGAGTCATTGGAGGAAGAGGAGGAAGCTGCTGTGGGTACTGAGGAGACTGCAGCTGTGGTCTACAACTCTGGCGACCTGGAGGTCTTTTGAGGGGTGCCTGCTGTCTGAACAAGGACGTTTAGGATTAATCTGATTCCCAACTATCTTAATGCACTGCATAAGTACTGTCTACAAGATACAGGATCTCTGCAGCATGCTTTTTTGTTTTTTCTCCCCTAAGCAATTAAAGGACTGCTTATGTTAATGTTTTAAGGAATATTGGTTTTGTTCTATACAGCATGTTTTTGTAGCTTTCAGCACGTATTAACACTGATTTGTGATACAAACGTTGTTTGCCTTTAAATCAAGTTCTTAACAATCATAAACCTACGTAACAGTGAAGCACTATTGTTGTTTTTCAGTTACAGTAATGTCTAGGATATTATGGCATATTGATTTATTCAAATATGTGGAACATAAATAAAGACTATTCAAGTACAATGACTTAAAATTCATATGACTGCAGATGTTTTTTCAATGCTACTTACTGTAGAATAATTCCAGAAGCGCTGTCATACAAAATCAGTCCCTGACAGCCAAGTGATTTACAGGTCTTCAGAGCTGATTGTCAGAGACAGTTTTCTTAAACAGAAGAGCCAGAAAAGGGAGGTTTTCCACTAGATGGCAGACACACATTAGCACAAGGACAAAATGCCTGCAGTTTAGAGTATTGGTCTTATACATGTTAACAAAAGGATATGATACATGCAAAAGGAGCAGGTAAAGACAAGAGAAAAAAAACACTAAATCAGCCATACATATATAATCTATATAGATTACAATCTATATATATATATATATATATCTATATAGATTATCTATATATATCTATATATATATAGATATATATAGATATCTATATAGATATATATATCTATATAGATATATATATATATCTATATATATCTATCTATATATCTATATATATCTATCTATATATCTATATATATCTATCTATATATCTATATATATCTATCTATATATCTATATCTATATATATATATCTATATATATATCTATATATATATATATAGATTATCTATATATATATATCTATATATCTATATCTATATATCTATATCTATATATAGATATATATATGCCTGATTTTGTGTTTTTTTCTTGTCTCCCACCCTTTTGAATGAATTTGTTATACATTTGCCAGACTTGACAAGTGGGTAGCAGCTACGATCAGCTTGTGGTGGGGGCATCAACGTCTACTTAACAGTACATGTTGGCGGGGTAATTTGATAAAACAGAGTCAAATACGGATGGATGTTACTTATTGAGAGAAAAGGTTTGATGGTGGCACGTGGAGTAGAGAGGGTGCGCTGGGAACTGTAAGGTTGGCTGTTTGAGCTCCGGCTGCTCCATGTCGAAGTGTCCCTGAGCAAGACACCTTGCTGATGTAGCAGCAAACTGTTATTTGGAGAAATAAGTCCAACTCTTTGGCGCTGTTTGGTCTAATCAACTTCGGAGAATATTACCTGACTTCCAATTATTTTACTTTCTTAACCAGCTAGTTTCTAACATTTTCTTTTTGCTGGTGCAGGGCAGAACTCACAAGTAGCTTTTTGATAAAAGAAGTTTAATGTTCTATGCACATCAGGAACAGTAAACTAGCATACAGTCCAACTCCCTATCTGCTAATCTCCTGATCCCCACTCCCCCACCCCGTAAAATAGCTACATCTAAGTCAAGGTAAAGTACACATTCTGCCTACACAGCTCCAAAAGAGTTTCTAATGTTGGTGAAAGATTTGTCAGCCGAAGTGTGTTGGAAATTATCATTATCTCAGCGAATGGCTACCACATGAAAGGCACAGCGTTCAGCCAGAAACACGTTCTATAGTCTCCCCTCTTATGGCTTTTTGTTTTTGTTTTGTTAGTATGTCGTCTCTGATAGATGCAGAGTGTGCACATCATGATGCCATGTGGCTATTAGGCTTGCCGATAAAGCTTTAAGATCGTCCTCCTGCGATTTTCACTGCATCAGCTCCATGCGGCGCTTATTGCATTCTCATTAAAAGAGAAACAAGCTCACTGTCCATATGATGGCACACAGGTGTGTACTGTGTGCTATATTGGGGAAGGCAATCAAAGAAATGTGTTAGTTGCAGGAGGGGACTGATGCTGTGTCTGGTCTCATCCATTGAATTGTTGCAGTCTCTGGTCTCAGGACCTGAGTCTCTGTCACCTGGCAACAAACTTGTTGCCTGGATACAACCAGCTTTCTTATTTCCATTGCATCAAATGGGACCAAGGCTTTTTTTTCTTTGGACGGGAGGGATGTGCTGCATAAAATCAGCATTCAGAGAGATTGTCAACAAATGAAATGGAAATATATTTTGTCGTTGTTAAACAATAAGCATTATAAGGACAGATTCTGCGTCTGAGCATCTTTTCTTTGGGGTTTGTCAACAATCATCTGGTTATTTCATGAACCGCTTCCTGTGTCACAAATCACAATCATCCGAGTATGCTGTTCAAAGACTTTTTCCTTCCTCTAATGATCACACAAGCAGGAGTAAATGCAAATCTAAATTTATCGGTGCACTCCTGCTGACCCACCAGAGCTAATCTCGGAGACGTTGACAGGGAGGCAATAACGCCACCAACACAATTAGACAAGAAAGCCATGCTCCGGCAGAGAGAGGATGTCACTTTCAATGTGTCTTTTTTCACGGTAGCATCTGAGCTACTGCAAGTGGCCCAGGTGGACCACAGTGAAAGGTAACATCAGAGGACTACTAAAAACAGGCAGTGACTCATCACTTGAAACAACTGAAACAAAGGTGACGCAGTTGGGAGGAGAAAAGAGACGTTAGATTACGCTTATAAAGTATGTCAACCGTGGGGATGATGTCACTTTAATCCCAAGACTCCGATGTTATTGAGCAATGTTTTGCACATGGCTCATCACCACTCTTTTTCCAGAGATCTTTATTTGAGGATATTTTATGTGATGATCTAGCTGGTAGGACAGTGGTAGCGCCATATACTCATGTTAATCGGTTGTAACTGTGTAGGTCTAATGTTAAAGAGGTGCAGTCTATGGCTATAACTTGTCTATGAAATTATACCTTTAAGCGATAAAAAAACGAATAATCAAATAATTCGGTGTCTTTGATGGACGAAAAACACCCCTCAACACCAGCGTTTTCAATTGTTAGTTCAAGGTTTGTTGTTGGTGGTTCTCATTGTAAATGTTAAAGGAGAGGAAAGACTGTCTGGCCTCACTATTGCCCCCCGTCTCTCTTCTGAATTATAGTCAGCTTCTGAACTAAGTAGGAAAAGTAGTGTCCTGGTTTTGGTAGGGTAGTACTAAGAGCATTTTTCTTATTTCTAACACTTTGGATTTCATATCAAAATGTGCACTGAACCGAGATAAGGTTCCAAGGAATGCTTGGCTCTGCGTTTGTTGTGCATCCAATAAAACGTGCTGTTAAAAACAGAACTGTACGGAGATGTCTGTTCTAAGTAAACCGACATGTCTGCATATCAAGCGTGTCTTGGAATATTAATGTTCTAACTACAATAATCAGTATTTTAAAAGTACCACTGACCAATTGTCCAAATCTAAATGTGAGTTGGGAGGGAGAATATATTCTGTGGACATGAAATATCTAACAGTTTAAGGCTTTTCCATGAGCGCCTATTTGCTTTGAAAGGTGATAACACGTCACTAAGGTGTTTCTAGCTCGCAGTGTTGTCACAGAATGGCTGAGCAAACCACGTAATCCCAGTTTAATTTAGTTAAATCTTTGCTCATTACTTTACTTTTTACTTTTTAAAAGCTTGCTCTACGTAGTCAGACATACAGTGGCTTAACACTTTTGCTGTGACTTGATTAAAATTTCATGGAAAACGAAATCTGTTAAATATTACAAACCATTCTGTGAAGAGAAGTCATAAAAAGTCAACTGGCTGGAGTTTAACATTTTTAAAGAATTTTATAACTAGCAGAAGCAATAGTTAAAGTGAAATTAAAGCTGCAAGCAGCGATGAACGGGCCTTCGCCTCCCCTTGCATGTCGGGGGGGGGGGTCAGCGGTCAGCCGGACATGCCGTCAAAAAGACAAAAAAAAGACAAGAAAATCAGTGCCTGGTGTGGGATTCGAAGTCTGGCTTTGTAAACAGAATATCTCACCACTTGGCTACTTGCCTTGTTGTACAAAGACCTGCAAAAGGTAAATAAATATGTAGGATCACCTCCATTCAGTTGAGGCAAAGAATATGAGCTAATCTCAAGTATTAACTTGTGAAGTCTGGCAGATATATTTTGCAAACTGAACACATTGAATGTGTCTCTGCGGAACACCTGTATGTAAACATGTCCACTCATGTCAGTCACAAACAACTTGACCAACTTGATTAATTATTCTCAAGCCCACTCTGCTGATAAGGAAGAGATATCTGTACAGCTGGATCAAAGCTGATGCCTTCTGGTGAGTGCACCTAGATCCCAGCAGTTGCTGGGGCTGCTTTATGAAGACGTGTAGGGGGCGCTATCGAGCCAAAATGCCGTCTGGAAGTATTAAAATCATATGAAGTAACTACATCTATAACTGTTAATGTGTTTTTCAAGTTTAGTAAAGATTAGAACATATTTAGTCCCTCATAAGCATCTTCATTTCGAATATGAATAACCAGTTGTCATGGCAACAGCGTAACACAAAAACAGTTTTTACTTAATCACTGTGGGACCGTTTTGTCCAAATTTGAAAAGGCTGTCCCAGAGAGGAGTTCGTCAAAGTACAGCGTCTAGGAAGTGCTTAAAATTGTCACGGTTACTGGTACCGGAGTACAGGAGAACCCAAACGCACGACTCGGACACGATGGACAAGACAGAGGGGTTTTAATGAAAGTTCAGGCTGGGTCCAAAACCGGGAGATTCGTCGGGAGGCAAACAATTCCAGATGGGCAGGCAGGTAATCCGCAGACCACCTCGACGGGCAGACCATGCAGGCGGAACACTCTCTGTAATAGTAATTCTGCTGTCTCTTTAGCAGAAGGCAGCTTAGGTAGTGGAATGAGTTGAGCAGACTTGGAGAAGCGATCAATTACCGTTAGAATAACTGTTACCTTCAGATGGGGGTAGACCGTTTACAAAATCCAAAGCAATGTGGGACTAGGGACGATGAGGGATGGGCAGGGGATGTAGGAGGCCGGATGGAGCCTTGCGAGAGCCCTTATGCTGAGCGCAGATCATGCAGGCACCGACGAATTCTCTTGCGTCCTTCTCCATAGTCGGCCACCAAAACCGTTGTTTAAGCAGAGCTAGCGTGCGGATCACCCCCGGGTGACAAGCCAGGCGGGAAGAGTGACCCCACTGCAGGACCTTCGAACGCAGATTCGCTGGGACAAACAGAAGGTTATCTGGACAGGCACTCGGCGCCGGTTGCGCTGTATGGGACCGTTTTACTTCCTCTTCCACCTCCCAGGTCACCGCCCCAA